CCCCGCCCCTTTCTCTGACGCGGTCCTTCCACGATACTTAGGAAGACCGCGCCAGATTCAAAGGGCTGGATTATTCACTCAGGTGCTGCATTGAGATCAGCTGCTCTACTTGATGCTACCGGCTCCACTCCTCTCCGGACCTCGGCTTGTAAACAGATTTCTACCTTCTCCACTTCTCGACCTCGGCTTGTAAAACGGACTTCTACCTTCTCCACTCCCAGACCTCGGCTAGTAAAAACGGACTTCCTTACTCTCACTCCTAACGCTCAGCTTATTAATAGAGACTCCTAATTTCTCCTCCATTGGGTGAATTAACCCTTCCATTGCCAGAACTGCCTCTAAGTTAAGTAAACCTTTTTGCCAAGGAAACCAATTCATATTAATTAATTTATACAGTATTTAAATTTCACTAAAATTCTCTCTTGTCAATAAGGGATTGCTACTAAGTCTAATTCTTCCTGCAAATATCAATTTATTCTAATTGCAAGCCTGTCCAGCTTCATTAACATAATTTTCATAAATCATTCCATCTTAATTAAGTTGAAACTAGCATTGCATTTCTTCCCTGCATGTGTATTTAAAGATACAGTCAACCTTGTTCACTTCAATATAAAAGGAGGTGAAACTTATTGTTTCTGCAGTTGAGTTCCAATTAAAGAAGTATTACAAATAAGTATCACAGCAGGTGAGGTTAATTCTTGCGGATGTGTACCCCTCAAGTGTCTTGTGCGGTGCACTGCCATTGGGGGGTGGTAGGAGTCAATTGCATTGCGGTCTCATCCCAAACTGGATTCAATGTCTTTGAAATTTTAAGCGTCTCAGTTCCTGGGTACCATGCTTAGGTACAATAGGCTAGACCGAAAGAGTTCGGTCTAGCACATGTCTCAATCGGAGTACGAGTCTATTAGGCTGCTGTTCCCGAGGGCAGCGTAGTTTGCATATAGGATCTTTTGTGTCAACTCCTGGTGTCTGGCGGTGAAGATGTAGAAGGCCAAAGGGTCCGGCCATTGCATAAGCACTGGGCGGGAGCTGGAGTTCCTGTACCAGTGCCTCTAGGTCGTCCATGCTCTTGACCAGAAAAGGGCCCTTTGGGGTAAAGACTTGCAGTCCCATTGGGAAACACCAACTTTACTGGAACTTGTTGGTTTGTATGATCCTCGTGAGGACACGCGACCCACCAGCGATACTCTTCGCAATTTGAAATGGTGGCCGATGAGAGATCCAGATAGAGTTGGAGTTCCACTCCATTCATCAGGACTCGTTCTGTCTCACGAGCTTTCTGCAGTACTTCTTCCTTGAGCTGGACATTTGCAAGGCAACAGACAATGCCTTGTGGAGGGCTCTCCGGTGGCCCTTTAGGACGTAGGGCTCTGTGTGCTCTGACAAATTCTCTTGGGGTTCAACATGGGTCTGCCCAGCAGCTTATTGAATAGTTCCCTGAGGGTTACCTGGATCGTCGCGGAGTTATCAATGCCTCATGGACATCCTGTATTCTGATGTTTTGCCTCCAGTCCCTACTATCAAGGTCCTCCATGTGATGTGCCGTCTGTCTGAGCTGGTCTGTGTGTATTTGGATAGAGTCAGTACTCGCAGCCTGCACCACATACATGTGGTTACATTCCCCCTCCAGTTGTGAGATTCTGTGGTGTAGATCTTGAATATCCTCTCACAGGGCATGTAGTTCGGCAGTGGTGGACTTGTGGAGGTCTGCGTTTGCCTCACTGAGGTCTGACTTAGTTGGTAGGTTTCACAGCAGAGTCGACCATCCCAGTTGGGAAAGCCGCAGGAGCATTGGTAGATGAAGGTGATTGTGGGCGTCTCGTGGTCTCAGAGTCCTTAGAGCACTGAGAAGTTAGGTCCGCCGGGGTTATCAGATATTTCCCCAGTGACAAAACCAGAGACCCCTTAGCAGTTTTAGCATTCTTAAGGGCTTGAGAAGCCCTATGAGTCTTGCCCATGTTTGTATCTGACACTTGTTATAGCGAGGAAAAGTGTGGAGCTGATGGGGAGCTCATGCATTATGCCACCATCTTCCTTGGCCTCCAAGCCAAGACCCTGCCCCACCGGTTTTTATGTGGGCAAAAATGTATTTGCAGTAGTCCAGAAACAGTTACATAGTTACAAAACTGAAAAAAACCATGCGTCCATCAAGTTTAGCATTTTTCACAATTGTTTTTGCTGTTGATCCAAAATAGGGCAAAAAGCCCAGTCTGAAGCACTTCCAAAATTCCATCTTGACCCCAGAATGACAGTCAGATACCTCCTTGAATCAAGAAGCAATCACCTCACTAATTAAAAAATATAACCCTGTATATTATGTTTATGTTATATTATCCATATTCATCCAATTACTGTTTAAACATCTGTATAGACCAGTGGTAGTCAACCTTTTTCTTCCTACTGCCCACTAATGCATCTTTCTTGATGGAAAAGTTTCCTTACCGCCCACCAGTTTTCGCACAAGTGCAGAATATTTTTTAGAAAGGAGGGCGTTTAAAAATAAATAAATAAATGTACGTACATTTATCTATTTATTTCTACTTAATGCATGTTTATAATTTTTTTTAACTTTATAAAGTTTAATTAGAAAACAATAAAGTAAATTGAAATTACCTTTACTAGTGATTAATGAGATCCTTGAGGTTGATGCTGCGTGACTAAATATTTGATATCTGGTTCGATTTTCGTAAGGAACAAACAAAGGTCTCCTCTTTCGGTGATATTCAGACAACTTCTCTGTTTGCACATAATATGATTTCTCATCTGTGCGTCAGCTCCCCTCTTCTTCCTCCTCAATTCCCCTCCCCACCTTTCTTTTTTCCTTTTTTCTATTTTTTAACCTTACTTATAGCAATGCCCAGTAGGAAGGCTGAGCAAGGTAGCCCACTATAACAGACAGGCACACATACATACAGACACACACACAAGACACACATACACACACACACAAGACACACATACATACAAACAGACAGGCACACACATACACACAGAAACACAGACAGGCACACATATATACACACATGACACATACATACAAACATACAGGCACACATACAGACACACACACACACACACACAGACAGACATGCACACATACACATACAGACAGACACAAGACACACATACATACAGCCACATACATAATACACACATACATACAAAGACACATACACACAACACATACATAAAAGACAAGACACACACAAAACATACATACAAAGACACACATACACACACAAGACATACATACAAAGACACATACACACAAACAAACAAACACATTATATTTAAGACACCCTCCTGTTTCCTACCTTTAACGTGCAGGAGGGTGACTTTCCCTGGGGTTCAGTGGTGGCTCAGGTGGATGGGAGTCAGAGTTCCTACTCTGACTCCCTGGTCTTCCTCCCGCGCAGCTCTTAGTGTTAGCTGGGAGGAGTGACGTGCAGTCACTTCCTCCAAGCGAAGTGATGTAATCACAGGGGGCCCGGTCGCGCTGTTAAAGCGCCCAGCTCTGACCGGGCCCCCTCACAATCCACATCCATCGGGTGGCCCTGACAGCATGGGCCACACGATGGACCCCTTGGACGGCGGCCCCGATGGTTTGCTGCCCGGCCAGGGCCGCAAATGGTGATGGCGGTACCCGGTCGCAGGGGTACCGCCGGCTCGCACCTGCCCGCCCACCCAATCTCTCCAAATTAGGAAATCCCTACCACCCACCTGGAATCCTGAAACTCCCACAAGTGGGCGGTAGGGACCAGGTTGACGACCCATGGTATAGACTGTATAAAACCACCTCTTTAGGCAGAGAATTAAACATCCTTATGGTTCTTACTGTAAAAAAATCATTTGCTTTGCCTTAGACTAAATCTTCTTTCTTCCAATATAAACACATGACCTTGTTTATAGTGCTCATGTATAGTCCTGTTTATGAATAGATTTCCACACAGTGGTTTGTATTGGCCCTGGATATATTTGTATAGTGTTATCACATCCCCTCTGAGGCACCGTTTTTCCAAATCTTTCTTCATGACTAAAATGCTCCATTCCTTTTATCAATGTTGTATCCAGCCTCTGTACTTTTTCTAGTGCCATAATATCCTTTTTTTGAACAGATCCCGAAAATTGCACAGCATAAGCAAGATGGTGTTTAACCCCTTAAGGACAGAGCTTCAGAAGCTTGTCTTTCACTTAATGACAACAGCATTTTTAGAATGTTTTGCTGTTTGTGTTCAACTGCAATTTGCATTTTACTAATTTATTGCACCGACACATATTATATACCGTTTTTTAAAGGACAGAAAGGCCTTTAATTTGTTGTAACACACACACATATATATATATATATATATATATATATATATTTAACCCCTGCACTCCAATCAAAAATAGTAAATACTCGGTGCTCTGCTTGCTAGATAATATAAAGTGAGAAAATTCCGGCACTCCAAGGTTTTCCAAATGAAAATCTTCTTTATTCTGAAAGTATATCAACGTTTCAGCTCCCCTAAGGAGCTCTCATCAGGACACATTGGAGTGCTGGTATTTTCTCACTTTATATATATAGATAGACAGATTTAATGAGCCTATGCTTCCATTTGGGGTATTATAACAGTTTGACTGTCCAAAAAAACCCCACAAAGGCTTACCATTTGTAAAAGTAGACACTCCAGGGTATCTCATAAGGTGCATATTGTGCCTTAACATGCCCCCATTTATTCACCAATATATGCCAAAGTATGTGGTAAAAAATCATTTTGTGCATTTTTTACATATGGCTTGCATTTTTGCTGGGCATTTTGTATATTTCACATGTGCCACTAAGTTCAAGCCCCCCAAATTATGCTCAGCTAAGTCTTTTGAGTAAAATGACACCCCCATTGTATGTCTTTGGCCAGGGGCGGACTGAGAACCCTCAGGGCCCCCTTACAGGCCCCACCCATACTCTGCAGCAAGCGCCACCCTTGTCCCGCCTCCATGCACTGCCTCCAGCCACACCCTACACAATCTTTAGACACAAGGAACAAAAGGGCAATAAGCCCTTCGAGGCCCCAGTAGAGACTACAATTGAGGGCTAATGGGCCATGGAGGGGGGTCTTTCTAGCAGAGGCTATCTCAGTGTCCTTTAGAGGGTGTGTTAGAAAGAATCCACTCCAAGCCCCATTAGAGACTACAATGGAGTCTAAAAGGCTTGGAAGGGGGTCTTTCTAACAGAGGCCATCTCAGCGTCCATTAGATATCCCCTGCTGGAAACAGTCGCCTCCAGGCCCCAGTAGAAACTACAATTGAGGCCTAATGGGCCATGGAGGGGATTTCTAGCAGAGGCTAGAGTCTAATGGGGCCTGGAGGGTGGTCTCTCCAACACTCTGGTTCCTATTCACAATATAGCAACACACCATAGCTCGCTGATACCTAAGCCAAGTTGGCTCCTCTTACCTTAATTACTGTTGCTGGCTGGCAGTCTGTGGGCTTGCTGGCTGCGGCTGGCAGGCTGTGGGCTTGCTGGCTACGGCTGGCAGGCTGTGGGCTTGCTGACTGCGGCTGGCAGGCTGTGGGCTTGCTGACTGCGGCTGGCAGGCTGTGGCTTGCTGGCTGCGACTGGCAGGCTGTGGGCTTGCTGGCTGTAAGCCTGTGGCTTGCTGTAGGCCTGTGGGCTGGCTACTGGCCTGTGGGCTGGCTACTGGCCTGTGGGCTGGCTAACTGGCTGGCTACTGGCCAGCCTGTGGGCTGGCTAACTGGCTGGCTACTGGCCAGCCTGTGGGTTGGCTGGCCGGCCTGTGGGCTGGCTGGCTACTGGGGCACTTGTAGATTATTTAAAGAAATAATCCATGCACAATAACCACTACTGCTCCAGAGTAAGTAGTCAAACCGTTTAAGAACAGTTTGACAACTTACCTGGGGTCTGCTGGGATATGAGGCTGTAGTAGGGAATAGGAGCAGTGGTGCAGTGTGTGTGAAAGGTTCAGTGTGTGTGTGGGGGTGTAGTGTGTGAATGTGTAGGGTGTGTGGGCAGTGTATGTGTGTGGCAATGTTAGTATGGGGGGCTGTGTATGGGGGTCTGTGTGTATATGGGTGGGCAGTGTATGTGTGTGTGAGGCAATGTGTGTAAATGTGTATGGTGTGTATGTGGGCAGTGTGTGAATGTGTATGGTGTGTGTGTGGGTGCAGTGTGTTTATGGGGCTAGTGTTCACTCTCACCACTGCGACCACCAGGAATCCATGGGGGTTACAGTGTTGAGAGTGAACTCTAGCCCGTAGCTCCAGGGCTAGAGTTGACTCTCGCAAGAGCAGTAACGTTGCCATGGTAACTACGGCAACGCTCTGTGCTCGCGCAAGAAGGACCCAGAGGAGCTGTAGGGTGAGCTCCCAGGTCCTCTCTTCCTCCCCTGCCCGCACGGTGCCTGCGGACAGGGGAGGGGGGGCATTCTTCCCTCTCTTTCTCCCCCCTCCCCATCTCTCTATTCCCCCTCTTTCTCCCCGTGTCTCATTCTTCCCTCTCTGTCTCCCCATCTCTCTATTCCCCGTGTCTCATTCTTCCCTCTCTGTCTCTTTCTCCCCCTCCCCATCTCTCTATTCCCCCTCTTTCTCCCTGTGTCTCATTCTTCCCTCTCTGTCTCTCCCCTCCCCATCTCTCTATTCCCCCTGTGTCTCATTCTTCCCTCTCTTTCTCCCCCCTCCCCATCTCTCTATTCCCCCTCTTTCTCCCCGTGTCTCATTCTTCCCTCTCTGTCTCTGTCTCCCCCTGTGTCTCATTCTTCCCTCTCTTTCTCCCCATCTCAAGATCCGGACTCTAGTTCACCAATTGTCCTTTAATGCACCACTTTTGGTAGGTTCTAACCACTGCATACCGGGGACACCCCACAAGACTTGCCATTTTGGAGATGCTCTGACCATAAAATATTCCACCCCTTGACAGTGTCAAGATTACTAATTGATCCAGCACATAGAATTGTATCACACCTAGGACTAAAAGGTAACGTCTTAACGGGCCTTAGAATGGCTGGACTTAACATACCAAAGAATAGTCAGAATACTTGCCGAGGTCGGGCACACAGAATTGGACACAACGATAAGGGAAAGCCAAAAGTCAGGGATACCAGAATATAGCAAAGTCAAAACGAAGCCAAAATCAATAACCAGAAATAAACGTTCAGGAACACACTCTCGGACAACCACTAAGGGAAACCACTACAGGGCAATGAGGAAAAGGCAAAAGGAGTTTAAATAAGCCTCTCTCAGATCCAATTAGCCATACCCGACCTTTGACCCCTGAACGTGCGTGTCCTTTAAGTGACGTCACACACATGCTGACGTCGTCAATGCCGTGGGCAGACGGGTTACAAATAAGTGTGGATCCACATCAGACGGCATCCACCAACATGCTGCAGGAGTCAGACACATTGACGCATGGCCGCTGAACGGCACTACCGCGTTTGTTAGCAAGGCAATTACTGCAGATTCCGCAAGGTGAGGATGAATATGTTACAGATAGATGCCATTGTAATCATATAATCAATATTGTCTATATCACCTGTCAGTAGTTTTAA